TGAGGTCCTGGGGGATAGGAGGGATAGGACTCGAACATATCTTTTTCGGGGGAAGACAAGATTTAGTCCATACTAGCCCTCTCTAAAGGCCTCAGGGTTGGTCAGGCCTGGGTCTCCCGGGTGGCTCCCACATACCCACGCCTGGCCTCCCCACCTAGGTGGGCATCAGGTGGCAAGTGAAACTCTCCAGTGGGATGGACGTGCCGTCAGGCCAGGAAGGAAGGGGATGGGAGCTGCAGGGCCCAGCTCCTGAGCTGGGGCTGGTTCTGGGTGTGTCTGGGGCTTCTCGGGGGAGCTGTTCCTGGGGCCTTGGGGAGCAGCTGGCAGCCCCTGGGGAACACTTTTTGTGTTTCTGAGGCATTGGTGCCTAGCCAGTGTGGGCCAAGCTTGGCCCAGGTCACGGGGCAGACGTCCCATCTCCGGCTGCCCCCACCACCATCCTTAGTCACTCACTCACCTTGGTTCATTCAGTAAATATTTATTTGAGGACCTACTGCATGTCTAGGCACCAGGAGACAGTCTCAGGAGCTTCCGTTCTCCTGAGGGTACAAAAGAAATCCACAACTGGACAGGTCAAGTCACATGGCAGAGACGTGATCCGTGGTGACAGTGGAACTATTGCTGCAGGAGACACTTGGCACTCACTATGTGTCAGGTGTGGCCCTAAGTGTTTCCTGTGTGTGAAATCGTATCGCACAGCTGTCCTATGAGGTATCCCCATTTTACCAAGAGGAAAACAGGGCACAGGAGGTTAGAGGATGGTGGGGGCTGGATAGGCAGGCATTGACTGCAAGGTGCTGTGAGGCAGGGTGTTGGAGGCCCGCCCACACCTCTGAGGAGTACACACCTGAGCTGAGATCTAAGGGATGCAGAGCTGGGCACACAGGCCGGGTGGCGGGAGCATGAGGGGACAGGGGCAGGAGTCAGCATGTGTGGCCTCATGGGCCATGGAATTGGAGTTGTTGCAGGAATTTAAGCTGGGAGCAAACTGTTCAGATTATCTTTGAAAAGACCCTGTGCGGAAACAACCCAGTGTCCATCTTTGGATGAATGAACTAAATGTGGTCCATCCATACAGTGGCATATTATTCAGTCATAAAGAGGAATGAAGTTCTGACATGTGCTCCAACTTAGATGAACCTTGAAAACATCATATTGAGTGATTTCGTTTATCTGAAATGTCCAGAACAGGCACATCCACAGAGACAGAAAACAGATTAGTATTTGCCAGGGGCTGAAGGGGAGAGGGGAAAAGAAGTGTTTTGCTTAATAGGCACAGAGTTTCTGTTTGGGTTGATTGTAAAAGTTTTGGAAATAGACCATGGTGGTGGTGGCACAGCATTGAGAATGTAATTAATGCCACTGACTTTTTTTTGTAGTCCTCACCTGAGGATATTTTTTCCATTGATTTAGAGAGAGAGACCGCAATTAGTTACCTCCCGTAGGCGCCCCCACCAGAACTGGGATCAAACCTGCAACCTAGCTACGTTCCCTTGACCGGGAATCAGGCCCGAGACACTCCAGTTCGAGTTGATGCTCCAACCACTGAGCAACACCAGCCAGGGCTAAAGTCATAGTTTTTTTTTTAATGTTTTCATTGATTTTTTTTTTTAGAGAGAGAGAAAATCATCAGTGTTAAGAGAGAAATGTTGATCAGTTACTTCCCACACACCCCCTACTGGGGATTGAGCCCACAACCTGGGCATGTGCCCGGACCAGGAATCAAACCAAGACCTCTCAGTGCATGGGACGATGCTCAATCCCCTGAGCCACACCGGCCGGGCTAAAACCGTAATTTTTAAAAAGGCCCCTCTATCCGCTGAGCGAACCTGGAGTGTGGGAGTAAGAGGGCTGGAGTGCAGTAGGAAAGAGGTCAGGGCCATCTGGGTAGGCGGTGAGCCCGGGTCTGGAGGGTGGCTGCCAAGGATGGACAGACAGGAATGTCCTGGAGGCACAAACCCAGGACTTGCTCCTGAACTGGATGTCGTGGGGATGAAGGACAGAGGAGCCAAAGGATTTGACTACTGAGGTTTTGGCCCAAGGACCGAAGAGGATAGTGGGACCATGGGCTGATTGATGGTGGGGGGGCTTTGTCTTGGTCTGGTCAGGCTTAAGGAATGTCGGAAACTGCAGTGGAGGTGTAGAAGGTGAGGAGGGAGGCAGCTGGAGCTTGAATGTGGCAGTCACAGTATAAATGGTAGCTAAAGCCATGAGGCTGTTTGGGATCCTCAAGAGGAAGATAAGGACAGGGAAGAGGCCTGGGGACTCCCCACTGGGGTTCCAAGGTCCTGGGGTGCAGCCTAGCAGGAAGGATAGGAACCACCCCCCTTGGATGGATGCTCCCCTGTGGCCTGACTCACACTGTGCTGTGGACAGCACCCTCTGATGGGTCCTTACCATAACCCTGCAGATTCAGACTAGGGAACTGGGGTGGGGGAGGGTAAAGGACCTGGTCAAGGTCACACAGCACATAAATGGCAGACTCAAGACCCAGACCCATATGGGTTAGCTGTCCTCAGAGCCTGGGCCCCCATCCTCCCCAGCATTAACCTCCTGATAACCAGTTTAAGTGCCTCAGGGAGAGACAGGGAAGGGAGTGTCCATCAGCCTGAGTCAGTGCCTCTCCTGAGCCTGACCAAGGCTGGAAGATGGGGTGGGGGTGAGAAATGAGCTGGTGAGGAACGCGCTTCCCCCAGTGTAAACTTATAAAATGCTGTGAAATGAACCAAACGTGCCACAGGCCATGTCCAGCCAGGGCTGTGGGAGGAGAGTTTGGGCAGTGGGGGCAGTGTCCTGCTGTGGGGTGGGAAAGGGGCAGAAAGCTGCTGCAGGGACTCGGGGCTATTCTGTGAAGTCACTGTCCCATTGCACGTGGCAGGAGGCTGGTGCCTGAACGGGGAAAGACTGCAGCAGGTGTAAGGGATCCTGGAAGAGAAAACGGCCCAGGCAAAGGCTGGGGGTGGGGCAGGCGGGGCAGAAGGGGGCTGCAGCAGTCTAGGAATGGAAGAGTTGGGTAACCTGGTGGCCCCGATCACCAGCAGCCTCTAGACCCTGGTGAGGAATGGAGCTTCAGTGGAGAGCAAAGAGAGCTATGTCATTAAATGATCCCTTAGCACTGAGTGGAGGGCAGGTGTGGAGGCCAGGACAGTGTCCAGGTGCAGCAGGCTAGTGGCTTGCTCCTGGGTGGTGGCTTTGAGGCCCAGAAATGAGCAGATGGGTGAGATCTTTTACAGAGCCCACAGGGTTGCTGACAGAGTTTATGAAGGGGGGCAGAGGCAAGGAACTGAGGCAGACTCCTAGTTTGGGGTCTGAGATTCATTCAACAAATATTCACTGCTGTGTGCTGGGCCTGTTCTAGAAGCTGGGGATGGGGCTGTGAGCAAAACAACCCAATGATCCCTGCTGGGCAGGGGCCATTCCATACGCTAGGTAGTCACATTTGAACAAAGGCCTACAGGTGATGAGGGAGCAGAGCAGGTGGCCATGTGGATAACTGTCCAAAGGAAGTGCGGCCCTGGGGTAGGGCTTGGTGTGGTGGAGGAATAGCAAGAGGCAGGGGTGACTGGAGCAGAGACATGGTCTGAAAGCTTACTGGGCCAGTCAATAAGCTTTCATTGGGGGGGTAGGGGGGCGCGGCAGCAAGTAGCTGTGTCTCTGTTGAGAGGTTCCAGACTGGAAATAAGAGATTGGGAAAGTTTTGGGTGGTGGATGGTGTTGAGCCTGTGGGACAGGCTGGGATGGCAGCAGGAGGGGACAGAGTGGGGGTTCATACACTATAGGGCTGGTTAAAACACAGGTGCTGGCCCTCCCCAGAGAATGTGTTTCTAGCAAATTCCTGGCTAGGCTGGTGCTGCTAGGGCTGGGCTACACGTGGCAAAATGGGTGTAGACACAGCAAAGGGCCGAGAGTAGAGATCTGGGCATGCAACTGAAGAGCATCCCAAAGAAACTGAGGTGCCCTGGCCGGTTTGGCTCAGCGGTTAGAGCGTCGGCTTGTGGTCTGGAGAGACCCGGGTTCGGTTCCCGCTAAGGGCACATACCTCGGTTGCAGTTTGTCCCTGGCCCTGGTTGGTCGTGCGGGTGGCAGCCACTCGATGTGTCTCTTCACATCGATGTTTCTCTCCTCTCTCTCTGTTCCTCTCTCTCCCTCCCACTCTACCTGAACAAAAAATGAAAAAATGTCCTCTGGTGAGGATAAAAAAATAAAAATAAAAAAGAAACTGAGGCAGCAAGAAGTGGGAGGAGTGACTGAGAGGGAGGAAATGAAAGGGTCAGAACCTTGCTCTGTGCTAGAGCAGCCCCTGGATAGGGAAGAGCAGGCAGGGTTGGGCACACAACCTTCACCCCTTCCTTACCCTCCCTGGCCCTCAAGGGGGCTGCACTCCCCCCTCCCCGCCTGCCTGTCTCCAGCTTACTCCAGGGTTCTCTGGGAAGGAAAGAGGGGACTCAGTTGTCCCTACTCCCCGATATATGGTGCCAGCCAGCTGGATTCTAATTAACTACCAGAGTAAGAGAGACAGGAAGTAGGGGGCTGGGGGTGGGGCCTAGATTCCTGCCGGTGATCATGAAGGGGGTGCTGCAAACCCAGCCAGGATGCCTGGTCCCCACCCTGTGTGCTCTGCAGGTGAGGAAGCTAGGCTGTGGGGCCAATGGGCAGGGTCGGGACTTCAGAATGGGTAAGAGGCTTCCAGAGGGTCCCTTTCCCCAGGATGTAGGGACTGAGGCCTGCCTGGTGATGTCCTGATGAGTTGCCTCTGTCACCAGAAAGGCTGTTCTGTCTGCTGGAGTAGGGATAGGAGTGGTATGAGCCCGGGGCCCTGGAAGGGGGCAGATTCTGGGCAGAGGGTGTGGCTTTTGTCAGTGGAGGTGTTGGACATGGACTGGCCCCTGTCAGGCCTGCAGGACAGATGCCCTTGGCCACCAGCAGGAGGGGGTTGCCCAAAAGCCCCTTCTAAGCCTGCTGAGGGGTGGACCCTACCTCACTCTCCCTGTCCTCCCCAGGCTGGTGGGCCAGGCCGTGGTGCCCACCTGGTGATGCAGGGCAAGGACCCCTGTACAAGCCACTGAGAGCCCTGAAAACACCCCCAGCCATTGCCATGGCCCGCTTGGCTGCTGTGCTGTGGAGTCTCTGCATAACCGCCGTCCTGGTCACCTCGGCCACCCAAGGTAGGTGCTACTGGGCCATGCCTCCAAACCTTGGCTGGGAGGATGGGCAGAATATTGAAATACCTCTGGACTACTTGTTGAGGCCCCCACCCCACCCACACCTCAGGAACCAGGCCAGAGGAAGGCTTGGTGGTTACGCATTCCCAGCAACACTGAAGGTCCCTAGACCCTCACCTCCAACACCCAGGGGTCCCAGAGCCTGGGATGCAAGCCTTCCTGGTGAGCTGAGGCTCGTGTGTGTGTGTGTGTGTGTGTGTGTGTGTGTGTACACACGTCTACATCTTCCTGGCTCTCACTGGGAAGAGGCTTAATTAAAGTGTGCCCATTAACACTTAATTTAAAAACAACTAATTAACCCTGGCCAGTTTGGCTTAGTGGTTAGAGCGTCGGCCCGCAGACCAGAGAGACCCGGGTTCAGTTCCCACTAAGGGCACGTACCTCAGTTACATTTTGTCCCCGGCCCAGTTGGGGTTGTGTGGGTGGCGACTGGTCGATGTGTCTCTCTCGCATCGATGTTTCTCTCTCTCTCTCTTCCTCCCTCTCTCCCTCCTGCTCTATCTGAAGATAAATGCAAAAAAAATGTCCTCAGGTGAGGATAAAATATAAAAACAACAAATTACCCAGCTCAGCCCTGTGCCATCCCTGGTATCCTGTGCATGCCACAGTTAGTGCCCCACAAATCTACCCATCTACCCTTACCAGCTACTCAGTTATGGTCCCATGGTGGGCAAGGGCAGAGCAAGGAGGGAGGCAGAGAGAAGGGGCCTGCTGGCCTTCCCCCTTGCCCGGGGGCATGCCCCCTGCCCACTTCTTGAGGCCGATTTGGAGGGCACTGACAGTGAACATTGCTTCCCAGTGCCCCATCATGTAGCTCCACCTTTAGAAAGCCAAAAAAGAGGAGGAGGCATTATTCAAACATGCCCAGGGCCTTGGTACTGTTCTGGCCAGCTGGCACCCTCTGCTTCCCCAGTGCCCAAGGTCTCTGCCCATCCAGGTCCTGCCCTATAGTCCCAGCTGGGCTGGGAGGGGCTGTTTCCACCCCCTAGGCCCCTCTGAGCCAGCCCTCCACCCCCAGCCTGCCTCCCAGACCCAGGAAGGTCTAAAATTAGCTGTGGAAGCAGATGGTGCTAGAGGAACACATGTAAAACTTTCCCCCAAGTGGGACAACTCACCCCAGAAAACCCCAGGGGCCTAGCTGCCATTCTCCATGGGTCCCCAGCCAACAGTGGAGGGACCAGTTCTTAGAAAAGAGGCCTGCTGCCCTGGCCAGTTTGGCTCAGTGGTTAGAGCATTGGCCTGCAGACCAGAGAGTCCCGGGTTTGGTTCCTGCTAAGGGCACGAACCTCGGTCACAGTTTGTCTCCAGCCCTGGTTGGAGTCGTGTGGGTGGCGTTCACTCAGTGTTTCCCTCTCACTTCCTCCCTCTGTCCCTCCGGCTCTATCTCAAGATAAATGCAAAAATATCCTTGGGTGAGGATATAAAAAAGAAAAAGAGAAGAGGCCTGCTTAGCTTTGCTACCCCTATGCACTGGTACCTTCTCTTCATCTACAAATAACAGATGCCCATGTTGGAGCCTCTGGGCCACTCTGTGCATCCCCACTTCCCTCTGGCATCCAGCAAGGCCCGGCTGGGACCAGTGTCTGGGAAGGTGGATGCCTCAGCATGCTTGGACCCAGCCACGCACACTTTGTCCTGCAGAGACTAGCTGCCTTAATCATCTTAATAATAACAGTAATCGACACCCCGTGGTCTCACTGTGCACTGCCGCATTCACCGCATCCCTCCCGCACCCTGGCACTATGAGGTGGAGCTGTCAGCTCCTCGGGGAAGGGACCAGGCACAGAGGTGGTCAGTGACTGGACAAAGCCACCAGCCAGGGAGTGGTTGAGCTGGGATTTAAACCCATCAGTTCAAGCTCTCAGTTCCTGTATGACACATGATGGGGACCGATGTGACAGTGCAACCCCACCGAGAGCTGAGCCTGCCCAGGGTGTGCTCTTTCATTTTCACACAACTCTGTGAGGTTTCCCAGGTGGTAATGAGGAGGACCCTCCTGGTGGCGCCCTCACCGTTCACAGCACCAGGCTCAGCACCCCTGTCACAAACATTCATTCCTAGCGCATGAATCCTCACAGTAGGGCTCTGGGCAATGAGTGCCCATTTACAGATCAGGAAACTGAGGCCCAGGGAGGCTACAGGGTGGCTGTCCAAACGAGTGAAAATCAGAATTGCTGGTGGGTGTATAGATCAAAGGCTCCTGACTTGACCCCTCCTCATTCAGCAGGCCTAGGGGTAAGGTGGTCATAATTTGCATTCTGAACCAGCTGCAGTGTGATTCTGGGGCTGCTGATCCCTGGGCCAATGACATGCTTCGCCTGTCATTTAGGAAGTGGCAAGTCAGGCTCTGTGGTTTCTTCCAGAATATGAGTTCATAACCCACCCCAATGCCACGTCTGCACCTTGTGTGGGGTGGTATAAATTTTGGGAAGCACTCAAGATCACACCCTCACTTTTGACACTAATTGCAATTCAGGGATCCCTCAGACCATCCTCAGGTTTGATGGTTTGCTAGGATTCACAGAATTCAGAAATGCCATTAAATTTACAGTTTATTACAGTGAACTGATGCAGATTTAAATCATCTAAGAGAAAAGGTACATGGGGCAGCATCCAGGTGAGTTTCATGCATGGAGCTTGCAGTTGTCCCCTCCCTCAGTGGTTGTGGACAGTGTTAACTCTCCTGGCAGTGCCACCCTGGGAAGCTCCCCTGAGCCTCGGTGTCCACCATCTCTGCTGGGGCTCTGACCACCCACATGGCTGACCTTGATCTCCAGCCCCTCCAGAGGTCAACCGATACTTCATGACCCAAAGCTCCCATCTGAACCACATTGTTAGTGTACTAGCTTGTCAGTGCAGCTGTAACCAAGTACCACAGATGGAAGTGCTTAAACAACAGAAATTTATTTCCTCGCAGTACTGGAGGCTGGAAGTCTGAGCTCAAGGTGTTGGTGGGGTTGGTTCCTTCTCAGGGCGGCAAGGAAAGGATTTGTTTCAGGCCTCCCTCCTTGGCTTATAGATGGCCATCTCCTCCCTCTGTCTCCACATGGTCTTCCTTCTGGTGTGTCTCTGTGTCCAAATTTCCTCTCTTTTTAAAATGTATTTTTTTATTTTATTTTTTAGAGATAGAAGAAGGGAGAGGGAGAGAAAGATAGAAACATCGGTAAGAGGGAACATTGATTGGCTGCCTCCTGTGTGCCCCCAACTGGGGATCAGGCCCACAACCTGTGCATGTGCCCTGACTGGGAATTGAACCAGCAACCTCTTGGTGCATGGGTCGACACTCAACCACTGAGCAACACCAGCCAGGCCAAATTTCCTTTTTTTTATATTGGATTAGGGTCTATCTTACTGGCCTCCTTTTAACTTGATTATCTCTATAAAGACCCTATCTCCAAATTTGGTCCTAGGGGTTAGGACTTTGGCATAGGAATTTAGGGAGGAAGGACACAATTCAACCCCTAACAGAGCACAGACTCTCTGGCATGGCCCAAGGCCCCCAGTAAACTGACATTCTTATCAGGCAGAACATTCCAAGGGCTTGGAGGGCTCTTCCAGGTCCTGAAGCAAAAGCCAAACTCTCTTTGAGCAGGTTAACGACTTTACATTGGGTACACTGAGAAGCCCATTTTACAGATGAATAAACTGAGGTTCATATAGCATGTGTCCCAGATACAGCTAAGCTGGAAGTGGTGCCTCTGCAGGGTCTTCCCTCCCTTCCCTATGCCCTGAGCATGACACCCTGCCCCCTTTCCCCACAGGCCTGAGCCGGGCTGGGCTCCCATTTGGGCTGATGCGCCGGGAGCTGGCATGTGAAGGCTACCCCATCGAGCTTCGGTGCCCAGGCAGCGATGTCATCATGGTGGAAAATGCCAACTACGGACGCACGGACGATAAGATCTGCGATGCTGACCCTTTCCAGATGGAGAATGTGCAGTGCTACCTGCCTGATGCCTTCAAGATCATGTCGCAGAGGTGAGGGGCCCACGGGACTCTCAGAGGCAGGGTGGTGGCAGTTTTGGGAGTTTCTGAACACCGTGCCTGTCCTCCATGCACTCCCTGGACAATGCACAGTGGTCACCTTCCATCTTCCTCTTCTGTGTTCCACACACATTTCCCAAGTACCTGCTAGGTGCCAGGTGCCATGCAAACAGCAGAGACCCAGCCCATCCCCACTCATCTTGTCGCCCACCCTTCTGTATCCCCCACACACGCACATATACACACATGAGCCTGATGCCTCCAGAAGCCCATACCAAGATTACAGGGAGGTGGCGAGGGCTTGCAATGTAAAGGCAATGGCGGGACAGGGTGCAGGTGTCATGGGAGCTGAGGGAGGGCCAGAATCTGACCAGGCTTCGCTGAGGAGGTGACATCTGAATACAGATGGCAGAAGTGCATGTGAGTGTGAGTATGAGAATGGTAGTGCCTGTACGTGGGGATGTAGTGAGTGGGGATATGCCAGGCAGAGGCACTGGGTGCTCAAATCTGCAGAAGCCTTTGTCCACTTAGAGCTGGTCAACACTTCCTTCAAATTTTACTGACTTGACCACTGTTTCTACCAAGTCCATACCCCACCCCCACCCCCCACAGTACCTTCTGCCCCCTTTCTTTGCTCTCTCTTGCCTTCTACAGCCTGTTCCCTCCACAGTAGCCAGAGTGCATCTGTGAGCACCAGAATCTGGAACCATCCCAGGTCTGCTCAGAATCCTACCTGGCTCCCACCTCACTCAGAACCAAATCCCAAGTCCTCCCTCAGCCTGCAAGGCCCTGCATGCTCTGCCCTTTCCTCCCCCAGCCCTCACTTCCTCCATGCTCCCCCTCTCACTCCATTCCAGCCATCCTGCCTACTCCTTACACACCGGGCGTCTTCCCCTAAGGGCCTTGTTGGGGCCTTTGCATTGACGTTCCCCCAGCCTGTGTTGCTGTCCCCCAGCAGCCACATGGCTCCTCCCTCCCCTCACTCGGGGGTTTTTCACCTAACCTCCCCTCCAGGCCTGCCTGACCACCCTCTCTAAAATCACAGCTCCCATTTCCTCACCGCTTCTCTGCTTTGTTTCTCTTCTAGCCCTGACTTCCACCACAGTTCCAATAGGTATTTTGCCTCTTTATGTTATTTATTTTATGTCTTCCCTTGCTGGGCTGTCAGCCCCACAGGGACAGGAAGTTTTGTCTGTCACTGCTGTGTCCGCAGCAGGCACTCACTGAATTTTTGCCCAATACCTGTGAGAATGCAGGATTCTCCGGAACCCAGGGCATAGAACTGGAAAAGGGAAGGAGGGCTTGGGCCGGCTCTGCAGCTCCCTGAATTCAGGCAGAGGATTCTAGAATATGTCACTGGGCGGGACTCTGAGTGCCTACAGAGAGTTTTCGGCACAGGACAGACGTGTGTGTTCAGGTGGCTCAGACTGGTTGGCCAGGCTAGAGCCGCTTCATCCCCTCCCTCCCAACTTCACTCTGTCCAACATCTGTGCCCCTCCATTAATCTTGTCCCTTTTCCCTTCCAATCTCCCCTGCATGGGTGGTGACAGTCCAACCTCCCAGTCTTTACTTGGGCAGTGCCCCCTTCTCCTTGGAACCCCTTTCCTCCTTCCTCCTCCCTCACCTCATTCTCCCCTAGAGTTTATTCAGCTCCGGTTCTGGGATCTGTGGTGTCTCCCCAGCATCCAGCACAGCAACTGGCTCAGTTTCGATGCTCATGGGTTCTCATTTCCAGAGGGGAAAATGCTGAGCAGTGTGGTTACCAGGGCTGAGGGAGTGTTATGAGGCTGTTACTCTACTGTCTTAAACCTGGAGGTGCTGTGTATCAGTTAGAGTGCAGTCACTGCTCTGACAGAGACACCCCCGAATAAACACAGTGCTCGGAGCTGAGAAGACCTTCACCACCTCATCCGTCTTCTGCCTCCTGCACCCGCCACATGCTCTCTGCAGCTGGACGGCCAGCGGCTTTCCCTTTTCTTCTCGATGTTGAGGTGCAATTCACATAACATAACACTCACTGTTTTAAAGTGAACAGTTTAGTGGCATTTAGTATGTTTCACAAGTTTTGCGACCACCATCCCTACCTAGTTCCAGAACATTTTCATAACCCCGAAAGGAAACCTGTGCCCGTCAGCAGTCCCTCTCCGTTCCCCACCCTCCTGGCAACCTCTGGTCTTTCTGTCTCTGGATTCGCCTATTCTGGACATTTCAGTTAAATAGAATCATGAAACACATGGCCTTTAGTGTCTGGCTTCTCCCACGCAGCATGTTTTCGAGGCTCATCCTCATTGTGGCGTGTGCTTCCCTCCTCTTTGTGGCTGAGGAATACTCCATTGTCTGGATGGACCACGTTTTGTTTATCCATTCATCCGCTGATGGACATTTGGGTTGTTCCCGCCTCTTGGTGATTATGTGAATGACACTGCTGTGAATGTGCACGTACAATAGTTGTTTAAGCACGAGCTTTCACTTATTTTGGGAATATAACAAAGGGTGGAGTTTCTGGGCCACAGGTAACTCCCCGATTAACCTTCTGAGGCCAGTGTCCTGTTTTTAAAGAAGAAGTTTGGAGTGGGTGGCTCTGAGCAGATCCTCTTTGGTTAAGGGCAGGATTGAGGAAAGAAGACATAGTTGTCAGGAAGTCCCCCCAAACTGCTTCCTGCACACTCACAGTTGGGTTGCTATCCCGCCAGCTGAGACCTGGGCTGCTCCAGGAAACAGGCCCTGACTGTGGGGACACAGAGGAGCAACATTTTCCAGTTGTTGTTAAGTAGGCCTCACTTTACATGTTGGCTAGACCCTGAGAAGCTAACAGGCGCTGACAGTTCCCTGTGGAGATCAAGAATGGCTTCACCATGAGGTGAGGACTCTGCCCCTGTCCTGGGTACCCTGGCTGCAGATCCTCACAGCAGCACTATCCAACGAGGCGGGCACGGAAGGACGCTGAGCGTTTCATTAACAGCATGTCTGCAAAGCACTGCCTCCTGTGTGTGGCTTCACGTGCCTTACTCTTCTGTGAACAAAGGAGGGGCTGTGCAGTCCTTTTAGGGCAAACACCAAGGATGTGATAGCACACAGCCAGGATGGAAGTGATAAAGGGTGGCTGGGGAAGCAGTTTTTTGTCTTGTTTTTTTTAATCCTCACCTAAGGATATTTTTTTCTCATTCATTTTTAGAGAGAGTGGAAGGGAAGGAGGGAGGAGTGATGAGAGCATGAGAGAGAGAGAGAGAGAGAGACAGAAACATCCACGTGAGAAAGATACATCGATTGGTTGCCTCCCGCACATGCCCCAACCAGGGCTAGGGACCGAACCTGCAATCCAGGTATGTGCCCTTGACCTTTGGGAATGGAACACTTGACCCTTTGGTCCATGGGCTGGTGCTCTAACCACTGAGCCCAGCCAGCCAGGGCAGGGGCAAGCAGTTATGGCATCGGCCTGAGTTTAAAGCCATGCTGGAGCAGAGAGTAGAAGAAGCCTGTCTAGTGGGAGAGAGCAGATGGGAAGCAGAAAACAGTATCCATGAAAGGCCTCTGGCCTTGGGCTCCATGGTTTCTTCCCAGTTTAGGGTTATTTGTTCTTCTTGTCCTGGAGACCTCCCAGTTCTGGGCCTGTCTTTTCCCAGCTCCCTGTCTTTCCTCCACAGGTGTAATAACCGCACCCAGTGCGTGGTGGTTGCCGGCTCTGACGCCTTTCCTGACCCCTGTCCTGGGACCTACAAGTACCTGGAGGTGCAGTACGACTGTGTCCCCTACAGTGAGTCATCTTGTTCCTCATGCAAACATGGGTACTTCCCCACCCAGAGTGAGCGAGGAGGAGATACCTTGACCACACACACACACACACACACACACACACACACGGCCAAATTGGGGCCAGGTAAGTGGGGAACAGCTGGGCCTGTTCCCTCACACTTTCTCTTCTTCTAGACACCCTTGTCCACACTCAGTGCCTACCCATCCCCCCCTTTTCTCCAGCCACAGCCAAAGACTCTGTCCCTTTCCACTGGGCACCTTCTCCAACCCTTGTTACCCTAGCCGACTTGCCCTGCTTCTTCATGTGCACCTGGCTTGTTCATATACTTCCAGGCCACACCCCCACACTCTGCTTGGCACACGTACATCTCTCCCTTAATCCTTTAGTCCCTCTGCCTCCCTGTCCTCTCATCCCTTCCCTTCCTGACCCCCACACACCTGTTCTTCCCTCTCCCTCACCACCTTCCTCTCTGAACTCCCTCTCCTTTCTCTTGTCTTCACCCCTCACCCACCCACACTCCTGCCTTTTCCCAGCCCTGGAAGCTGGACTGTATGCCCATGGAGAGGCAGACCACCGCTGAGGCCTCCTGGCAGATTCCGCGAGAAGGGCTGGGGGCATCTTCCACAGATTCCTAGCTCCCGGTTGGTTTGTTCATTGCCATGACAGCACTTCCTGTTTGCAAAGGAAGTGCCACTGTGTTGGACTGAGGGCAGCCCCCAGGAAGCCTGAGGGTTATCTGGGGAGCCAGAGGCCTAGCACCTGGCCAAGGGTAGCAGACAAAGACAGGGTCTCTCCTCCTCAGCACCCCACCCTTAACATCATCCTTCTTTCCTGCCCTCACTCTTTCCTCTGCCTCCCCTGTCCTTCCCCCAACCCCACTCCACAGAGCCAGCCAGGAGGTAGGGCCTCTGGGCAGAGGGGGGAGGCAGGGCCACCAGAGTGTGTGTGGGGGTAGGGGCGGGAACAGGAGGCCCTGTGATTCTCCCTCCTCTCCCCTCCCACTCCAGCCTTCTCCCCCAACTTTTGATTTCTCCTCGCAGGTGATGATATGCACTAGGGAAATCAGGATCGCTTATGTGCTTCCATAACTTTCTTCTTTTACTCCTCGCCCTTTCCTTTCAGCGACAGAGGCCTCCAGCCACCGCCTGAGGGGGACGCCCATCTGATCATTGAAGTCTTCCCACAGCACTGGGGACACTGCCCATCCCCGGGGCTGGGGCAGCAGGGAAGGAGGGCAGGAGGTGGGGAGCATAGCACAACGGGGAAATCAGGCTGGATTCGAAGCTCAGCCAGGCTTTTGAATTTTTCTGGCTCTGAAACTTGAGTAAATGACTTCATTTCTCTGGGCCGCTGTAGGGGAGTGAGAGTCAAGGGGTTCATGGGTGCGAAGCAGCCAGCCCAGGGCCAGCCTCAGAGCTTGCTCCCAGACCCAAGCCTGGTTCAGGATGTGCTCAGTAATGATCCGAGTGCCCTTGCCAGCCGGCTGAACCTGTATATCCATCTGTGATGGGGGAAGGGTCCAAACACCTTCTCTGGGACACTGACAGGAATAGAGAGAACATGAGTAAAGCTCCTCATGTGCCCTGAGACTTGGGTATGAAGGAAGTGGTGCCCATTTTTGCCAGCTTGTGGCCTCAGCTATATTGCTTCACGTCACTGAGCCCAGTTCCCCATCTATGGACAGGCCTCTCAAAAGACTGCACAGGGAGTGCTTGGCACCTGGTGAGTGCTGGGCACTTGGTCATCGATGTTTCTGCTGTAACTAGCAATTCTTATTATTGCTGTTGATAATCAAAACGAAAACATGATGAACCCAGTTCCTCCTGAGGCAGATGGGATAAAGGGCAGGAAAGAAAATCCCTTGGTCTAAGGGGAGTCCAGAATGGATGCCACACAGGTAAAGAATCAGGAAAAAAGTTTAGAGGGCCTGGGGAGGAAAGGGGTGGAGAGACCTTCTGAAGCTAACCCCCTGGGTGGGCAGGAGCATAGCCCACAGAGATCAGGAGGAAGGCAAGTCAGCCCAGTCTGATGGGACAGCGCCAGCCGAGCTCTGGGGGAGACAAGACACACACATGCAAACATGCACAGTTTTGGGGGACACGGTGGGGCCATGTATGTTCTAGACATGCAGATCTGTTAGCTCCTGGTCCCAGAGGAAGGGGCTGGGTTACCAAGAGGACTTGAGTCAGGCCACAGAGCAGGGAGGCTGGGCACACACTTGTCCCCCCCAGTCTGCTGAGCACCTCCTGTGTTCCAGGCCTTGGATGAGGCACTGGGAAGGCAGCCAAACCTGCCCCTATGGACCTCCCTGCTTCTGCCTCCAGAGTGGCCCTGGAGAGGTTCCTGAGAGGCCAGGGGCACAGTCTGGAGGCTTCAGAGTCTGGGGTGATCCCAGTGCTGGTGCAGGCCTATTGCGGGTGGGTGTAGGGGCTACCATGGGGTGGGGCCAGTGGATGTGTGGGATCCCTCCCACACACATTGGACAGGCCTGACTAACTCTGGATTTGCCTTGCAGCTGTGCACAGTCTAACCATGCCCCCTTCCTCCCCCAGGTACCACCGGCCCACCAGCAGCGGGTGGCGTGGAGCTCCTGGCTCCGGGGCTCCCGGGGGGTTGCTGGGCAGAGAAACTGAGTCTCGGGAGAGAGTGTCTGTGCCACCTGCTGTCCTGTCCCATGTGACGTCTCCCCACCCCAGCCTCTTCCCTCTGCCTCTGTCTCCCCTGTCCCAGCTCTCTGAGGCCCAGGGGGGCTTTGCCTGTCTGCTTCTCAGTCATTCTGTGTCTAGCTCTGCCCCCCTTTCTCCGTGTTGGCTTTTTCTGGGTTGTGAGGGCTTGGGGGGACCCAGCTGGACTGAGGCAGGGCCAGCACGGACTGGGAAGGAATTCAGCCTGTTCTCTCCGTTCTGGGCACCCAGGTCCCAGGAGGAATTGAACACCCTAGCCTGGGCCCCTGGTTCTGGCAGGAGGGCAGCAGGCAGGGCAAGAGGGGATCAGAGTGCCCTCCACTCCCTCCCTGGTACTCCCCTAACCAGAGCCCGCCTCCCAGCTGGGACTCCCCACTCCCATGAAGGTGCCCACCCACATCTGAAGGCATGGTCCTCCTGCCTGCCTGTCTCCCCCTCACCCTGTGTCTCTCTTGGTCTCTGTCTTCCTGCGTGTTTTCCCCTCCCTGTGACTGTCTCCCTCATGACCTCTTGCCCCAACCCTACCCCAGAGGAAGGGACTTGGGGGGTGGGGGCTGAGCTGATGCAACGTTTGGGGTTGGGGAACCAGGAGTGAGGAAAGAAAGGAAAAGGGGACATGTTGCCAAAAAAGAAACAAAAGCAATTTAATCTCTTTTTTTTCTCTTTTTTCTTGCACATTTTTTTTTCAATTTGTTTTCTCTCTCTCTTCCGATGCTTAAAGTAGAAGTGGAGCAGAAAGGTAAACGCACTGTTACCAATGCTAACCCCTAACTCACACTTTGTTTTACCTGTACCATACTTATGTGACCCACCCTCCCTCTTGGCCCCTTCTTCTCCCATCCCCCCAACTGGGTCAAGGCGATAGCCCCCACCCCCGGTGTCCTCCCAGTAGGGCCAGCCCTGCTCCAGCCATGGGCGGCTCCACCCTCCAGACACCCCAGACAGCGGAGGAAGCTCCTCTCTGAGTACATGGGCAGGACCTTTTGTCTCTCTCTCTCTGCCTCTCTGTCTCTCCCTGTCCCTCCTTCCTAGTCCCTGGCCCTTGCTAGAGGGACCTGGCCTTCTCTCATACTTCTTTTGCCTCCTTCAGGAGAAGTTTGTAAGCATCCTGGGCGGGTGGGGACACCCTTCCCTGGCTCCCTACTGGGGGCGGGGTGGGGGGGGGCATCGGGCGAGCCGTCTGTCTCTTCTCTTCTTCCTGCCCCAACTTTGGTAACTTCTGTCCTATGAGGGGAGGCGGGATGGAGGGAACACCTTTGTTTTCCTTTTGGAGAGCAGATGCATCCTATCCCTCGGGCTCCTGGTCGCTTTAAGTTCCTTCTGGTTTGGCATTTCCAAGGCCCAGAGCTGTTTTGGAGCACAGAGCACCAGCCTCCCCCACCCCTAACCCCCAATCTCTACCAGCTGGGGGCCCACCCCTGGGGAGGGGCATAAACTGTCCTCAGCCCTGGGAGGGCAGCCTGTCAGATGGGGGGGCAAGGGAGTGGGGGTGGGCCTCGAGGTGGGGGGAGTGCGGGGTGGGGAAGCATTTTTCTCTGGTTCTGAAACACTTGCAAAGCTGCAGTCAGGGTTTCTTCTGGGCTGTTGTGGTTAGAGGACCAGGGAGAGGGGGGTGGGGACAGTATAGGCCAGGTCTGGGGACTTCCAGGAACACCGTAATTTCTTGCCAGGTTTAACCTTCAGCACTGGAGAGTGGTGGGTAGGGCTCTCTGTCATGGAGGGGAGGGCAGGGGCTGCAGCTGAAGGGCTTGGAGGACATATTGGGATATTGGGGATGGTTGCTTCCTCCCCTGAAAGTTTTGGGAAATTGACAGCTCTGAGGCTGGCAGCAAGAGAAAGGCTGGGTGCGACACCCTTTCAGATAGCTTTTGCCTTGAAATTACGGTGGTCTGTGGAGCATCCCCTTCAAGGGAGGTGGGGCGGGGTCCCTCCAAGCTGCTCCCCTCCCCGCTGTCTCCCTCCCCATCTCAGAGAGGCCTGGGAAGCCAGCCCACGGTCTGCCCCAAAACACCCTGCCACACTCCGCCTCTCTCTTTCCTGGAGTCTCTCTCCTACCCAGCACCAGACACTCTTCTTGCAGGTCCGGTGGTGGTTTGGACACGCAGCCCTGGATCTTTTCTCTTCAAGAGGCGGGTGCGGGGAGGGAAGAGGAGCTTGGTGCTAGGGGGGGCGGTCCTTGCTGGCAAAGGCCCCAGACCCTTCTTTATATTCTCCCCCTTCCCCAAGGTAACCTTTAACCACATTTTCCTCCTCCACACCCTTCTGATCAGGTCAGGCTCTGAGACCTCCCACCACCCGCCTCACACACACAGCTGGCAGGGGCCCCCTGGCTTGGGGAGAGGGGAGACCTGGGCACATAGGAAATAGGTGGAAGGACAGACCAACACCGCAGGGCACCAGGAACAGGGAGATGGTGAAGCCCTAAGGCCTAAGCCAGGATCCTTCTGGTCCCTGCCCACCTCTGTGCCCTAGGCTCCCCTTCCCCTTCTAAAATAGGGCATGCTCCTGGCTGCTTTGTGCCTGGGGACCCTTGGGCTGCCCCCCAAGCCAGTGCCAGGTCCCAGCCCTCCCTGTCCCCCTCAGGGCCATCTGCTTTGGTGACAGGCCAAGCAGAAGCAGAGAATTCACTGCAAACCCTCACCCTGGCCTGTCTGTGGGTTCTGCTAGCAGGGAGGTGAGAGGGAGGCCCCAGCCATCCTGGATGGAGGGGCCTCTGGCCGTCACCACTCTGGGAGGAGGAGGGGAGTCTGGCCATACTGACCATGAAAGTTCAAATCTCCACTGGGTCAGTAGAGGAGACTAGGAGTAGGTGGCCCTGGGACGTGATGGGGCAAGGGTGGGCAGGCCAGCGGGGGCCAACGAGATGCAGTTGAGGTTTTCCTCCTTTTCAGGGAATGGGGGGGTGGGGCGGGGCCCCCCACCTTTCTGACATCAGCGCTGCCTTGGTCCCTCCTCCCGAGCCGGGGATGGTTGCAGGTAAATCGGGGTCCGGGGCAGGGGAGGTGGGGGCCTGGCTGGGGTGGGCTGGGTCTTTATCCTAGCACTTGGTTCCCTCCCTTGCCCACTCTGAGCTGGACCTGGGACTGCCCCCCCTGAGGGACCCTCAGTCGGGCCTGGGCCTTGGAGTGAATTCTCTGCTCATCCCCTCTCTCCTCTGCCAGCACTAACCCTTTCTTCCCAGGTGGTCTCCAGCGTGCTTCCCTTGGAGCCAGGACCTCTGCTGAGGCCCCCCACCTTGTCTCTCTTCCCTCCATGCAGCTTTCCTTCCCCCTCCCCAACTCTCCTGGGGAGTCCCTGCCTCCCCATGTCTCACCCCCCCATCCCTGTGCACCAGTGTCAGTGTCTGCTGCTGAACAAACCCCATGAGAGACCCTGCCGGCTGGGGGCAGGGCTGGGCACCGTAGGGGAGGGGCTGGACTTTTCCAAAAACCCTTCCTGATTGTGTATGTACTGGGGGGGGAGGGAGGCCACAGGCTGCATCAGGAACGTTGGAATGGGGGGACGCTCCTGACACCCACAGTGGGTACAGACACATCACTACCTTGCAATTTTTGCAGGAGGAAGAAAGTGGAGTAAAAAAAAAAAATCTGTCCTTGAGTGGTTGGTGAAGGATGGGACCCTCAACTCTAGCTCTTCCATAGGGGGCGGAGACGATGGCAAAGGAGCAGGGTGCTGAGTCCCTGGAACCTCAAAGCTGCCAGGCAGTGGCTGCAGTGAGGAAGTCTTTCTGCCATGCTTAAGGCACACCAGAAAGTCTCTGGGAAGGCTCTTGCCAAACCCTTTATCCCCAGCCTGTGGGGTCTCTATCAGCCAGGAAAGGAAAGAGGGGTATCTCCTCCCCCGCACTAACCCTGCTCTTAATGGCCTCCAGGGTTGATACCTCCAGGGAGAGGGGCAGCTGGGCGGGGCAGGGGTCCCAGCCCGGAAACCCCCTTCCCATCATCAGCCCTACCAAGCAACCGTGACTGCAGCAGCAGGAGGGGACAGTCAGGCTTCCCCCTTGGCCTTGTGACCAACTTGCCTCTCTCTCCCCTCTCTCCTCCCCTCCCTCACCCCTGCTTCTCCTCTCCTGTCTCCTCCCCTCCCACCAACCCTGCCCAGTCTTCGTGTGCCCAGGGACCCTGCAGAAGGTGCTGGAGCCCACCTCGACGCATGAGTCGGAGCACCAGTCTGGTGCCTGGTGTAAGGATCCACTGCAGGCTGGCGACCGCATCTACGTCATGCCCTGGATCCCCTACCGCACGGACACGTTGACCGAGTATGCTTCGTGGGAGGACTACGTGGCGGCACGCCACACCACCACTTACCGCCTGCCCAACCGCGTGGATGGCACCGGCTTCGTGGTCTACGACGGCGCCGTCTTCTACAACAAGGAGCGCACGCGCAACATCGTGAAGTACGATCTGCGCACACGAATCAAGAGCGGGGAGACGGTCATCAACACAGCCAACTACCATGACACCTCGCCCTACCGCTGGGGGGGCAAGACTGACATCGATCTGGCCGTGGATGAGAACGGGCTGTGGGTCATCTACGCCACTGAGGGCAACAACGGGCGGCTGGTGGTGAGCCAGCTCAACCCCTACACACTGCGTTTCGAGGGCACTTGGGAAACAGGATACGACAAGCGCTCTGCGTCCAATGCCTTCATGGTGTGCGGCGTCCTCTACGTGCTGCGCTCTGTCTATGTGGACGATGACAGCGAGGCGGCTGGCAACCGTGTGGACTATGCCTTCAACACCAATGCTAACCGGGAGGAGCCGGTCAGCCTGGCCTTCCCCAACCCCTACCAGTTTGTCTCCTCTGTGGACTACAATCCACGCGACAACCAACTCTACGTCTGGAACAACTACTTCGTGGTGCGCTATAGCCTGGAGTTTGGACCACCCGACCCAAGTGCTGGTGAGGATGGCTCCTGTTCACTGTCTCAGGCCCTTCCCCTGGTCCCAGGGTCAGGGGTACAATCTGGGAGTTCTTAGGGACCTGGAGGTGGGTTGGGGGAGACCTGGAACTCAGAGTCACACAGTACATGCTGTTCTAAGCACTTCGCATCTGGTAACTAACTCATCTAATCCTCCCAGTCACAGGGATTGTTACTGCCCCACCCCCACCTCCCGTTTACACAAGAAGAAACTGAGGCACTGGGGAGGGTTGGAGAATTAGCTTATGTATTTGAGTATTTGGGCTCAGGACTCGGAGCACCTAATTACCAAGTGCACTGCCTCTCCCAGTGGCCTGTGCAGTTTTAGCCCTGGAACCCTTAACAACCAAAATCTTGTGTGGAAGCCCAAATATCTGGTGAAATAGAACAAGGCTGAGCTGCTGATGTGAAGGAGGGAGGGCCTCTCCGTAGTTTCATTTGTCCCCTCAGCTGCCCTGAGCCAGCTTTGAGCAGTCCCAGGGCTCCAGGGTCCCTAACCCCAGCTTCCTGTGCATAACAGGACCTGGCCAGGTTACAGAGACCAGAGCGAGAGTAACTGAGGATGGGAAGTGGCCATGTTCATCTCCTTCATGGCCTTTCCTTTCTGGTGGTTTTTTCAGACTTCAGGGTGCACATGAGTGAACTCTTACCATTTTTTGATGCTTTACATGGTCCTACAGGTGTGAGGGACCTCTGTGGGCAGAGAGAATGTGGAGGAGATCTGCTTTTAGACCCAGTGGGGACCAGGACACCTTTCTGCTTCATTGTCGAGAAAGATGCTAGGGTGCCAGGCATCCCAGTGCCCAGGCATGCTGTGACAGGGTTCCAAGCATGGGGCTGACTATCTCATGTCTCCTCTCCATTCCAGGCCCAGCCACTTCCCCACCCCTGAGCACGACCACCACAGTCCGGCCCACACCCCTCACCAGCACGGCCTCACCTGCAGCCACCACCCCACTCCGCCGGGCACCCCTCACCACGCACCCGGTGGGTGCCATCAACCAGCTGGGACCTGACCTGCCTCCAGCCACAGCCCCTGCCCCTAGCACCCGGCGGCCCCCAGCCCCTAATCTGCACGTGTCTCCAGAGCTCTTCTGTGAACCTCGAGAGGTGCGGCGGGTTCAGTGGCCGGCCACCCAGCAGGGCATGCTGGTGGAGAGGCCCTGCCCTAAGGGGACGCGAGGTGAGTTCAGAGGCCTCAGTCACCTCCACTGTGACTGCCTTCAGGGGTGGCCATTGCTGGTCTGGGCAGAGAAGGGACGGGACATGCCCATCACTCAGCTTAGCACAGATGCACTTACCTGTCCGTCTCCCCTGCCAAACCATGGGTTTTAAATGGCAGGGTCACACCTGACATCTGCAGCTGTGTCAGAGCCTAACAGAGCTCCCAGGGCATAGTAGCAGTTCAGCTCAGTACTCTCCCCCACCCCAAACTCTGTCCCCATCTGCAGTACCGAGTACCTGCCACATGAAAAGCACCAGGTAGACCCTGCAGGGAGCCCACAGAGGTGACTTGGGTGTGTCCCAGCCTTAGGCTGAGATGGAACAGCCCTGGGAGCGGCTAATGGCAGGACAGACTGCAGTTGAAGTGCCAGAGGGGTGGGGCCAGGTCCAGGTGCTCCAGGGATCTGAGGGAAGGGTCAGAAGAGGCTTTGTGGAGAGGGAGGGGCTTCCAAGATGGGCTTTGCTAAAAGGTTCTCATTCCTGTAGGCAAAGGTGGAAGGGGAACCAAGAGGGAGAGCTTGGGAAGTCAGGAGTGACTTATGTCACCTCAGAGTGACACCTCTCTTGACTGTCTGGTCTGCTTCATGTCTGGTCTTTCATGTTCCCCTCACCTACTTGCCCCCTCTGTCGTATCCTTTTCCCCTGCTTTGGCCCATCCTTCTCTCCTCCTTCCTTGTGGCTCCCTTCTCTGTTCCTGTCTGTCTGTCCCTGCAGGAATTGCCTCCTTCCAGTGTTTACCAGCCCTGGGGCTCTGGAACCCCCGGGGCCCTGACCTCAGCAACTGCACCTCCCCCTGGGTCAACCAGGTGGCCCAGAAGGTACTAGCAGCAGCTGCTCCTCCCAGACAGACACTTGTGCTCACACACTGGGCTCTGGGCGGCTGGGCACAAGGGGCAGTGGGGGCAGTGGAGCAGTGGGACAGAGGGAGACAAATGGGCGGCAGATCTGGGAGGCAGGAATGTGGGGTCCACTTCTTAGCCTGCAGAGTGGGAGAGAGGGCAGATAGACAGAAGGGCCGAGCAGGCCAGGCATGTGCAAAGGGACCATGGGGGAAGCAGGAGGGTCTCTGACAGAGCTGGGTTCCCCACTTCTGCCTCATGCAGATCAAGAGCGGGGAGAATGCAGCCAACATTGCCAGTGAGCTGGCCCGCCACACCCGGGGCTCCATTTATGCGGGAGATGTGTCTTCCTCTGTGAAGCTGATGGAACAGCTGCTGGACATCCTGGATGCCCAGCTGCAGGCTCTGCGGCCCATCGAGCGGGAGTCAGCTGGCAAGAACTACAACAAGGTGGGGCCTGGCAGCAGGGCCAACAGTGGGCACTGTCCCAGGGGCTCAGGAAGGTTCCAGCCTGGTACCTGAGAACTGGGCTGCCACCCATGATGGTCAAAGAAAGAAGGGACAGAATCCAGGCCTGCTAGTTTCCCATCTGGGAAAGACCTTGGAGGTCCTGGGGGTTGGGGGATCCCTTAAGAAAAACTCTCGCTCGTGGCCCAGCGCCAGGCTGTGGCAGACAGAAGAGTGAGAGGGTTGGGATGAGTAGAGCAGGAGGCCAGGCTGACAGTGCCTCCATCTTTTTCCTTAGATGCACAAACGGGAGAGAACCTGCAAGGACTACATCAAGGTGAGGCTCAGAGGGTTCCTGCTGTCTGAGGGGTGTGGGGCAGGCCACAGGAGGCACCAGTGGGATACAGAGCCCAGCCTGAGAAACTGGAGGGTGTGGGGAGACTCACAGCACCACCCCCAACTCTCACCCCTTCCTCCTACCCTACTCATTTAGGCTGTGGTGGAAACAGTGGACAACCTGCTGCGGCCAGAGGCTCTCGAGTCCTGGAAGGACATGAATGCCACAGAGCAGGTGCATACAGCCACGATGCTCCTGGACGTCCTAGAGGAGGGCGCCTTCCTGCTGGCCGACAATGTCAGGGAGCCGGCCCGCTTTTTGGCTGCCAAACAGAATGTGGGTGAGTGCTGTGGTTTCACTGGGGCAATTTCAAGTGCAAATCTTAAACTGTGCGGTTCCCCCTGTTCCAGAATTCACAGGGGATGCCCTGGCACTCTGGCCCTTGACCTTGGGCCCTGGAGTGGGGACAGACTCCAACCCTGTATGCCCTGCCATCCTTTGTCCCCACAGTCCTGGAGGTCACGGTTCTGAACACAGAGGGCCAAGTGCAGGAGCTGGTGTTCCCCCAGGAGTACCCAAGCGAAAACTCCATCCAGCTGTCAGCCAACACCATCAAGCAGAACAGCCGCAACGGTCAGTGCCCAGCCCCCAAGGTGGCAGCCCTGCCCCACTTACGAAGAACAGTGACTCTCAGCTTTTATGGGGTTGAAGCGTCCGAGAAAAGGTGGGACCCATAACAACACAGAGATGTCCTCTGCTCAAGCTGGTGGAACATTTCAGGGTACTCATGAGGTCTTCCCAAAGCCCCACAGAGCCCAGGACACTGCAGTCCGCAGGGCTCACTTCTGTGCAAAGCAGTTGATCCTCATAGCTCAGGGAGGATTGTCCCACTTGAGACTAAGGCACAGAGAGCTCAGGGATTCGCTTGAGGTGACACTGCAAATGAGAAGTGCCTGTGTGTTCTGGCCCGCTGTCCTGTTGTTTGGCACTACCTACAACCGAGCGGTCATCCTGGGGCAGGGTTCCCTGAGCCCCACTCACCTGGGCTGTGGCCGGAGAAGCCAGGTCCCAGTGGCTGGAGATGCACTGGCCAAGGGCTGATGGCACACCCTGCTATACTTGTACTCCCCAGGGGTGGTCAAGGTTGTCTTCATCCTCTACAACAACCTGGGTCTCTTCCTGTCCACTGAGAATGCCACAGTGAAGTTGGCGGGCGAAACAGGCACGGGTGGCCCAGGGGGCACTTCCCTGGTGGTGAACTCACAGGTCATCGCAGCCTCCATCAATAAGGAGTCCAGCCGTGTCTTTCTCATGGACCCTGTCATCTTCACTGTGGCCCACCTGGAGGTGAGCTGAGGCACCCCCCACCCTCCATGAGGGTCCCAGCATCCTCTGTGTTTCCATGCTGAATATCCCCCCACAACCTATTCATCCACCCAAGAGCTAATTTGCCCCCCTCCTTGAGCCATGAGCCCCCTCCCGCCCTGACCTCAACTGCTTAAGTCATTTGTCCCCAGGGATACCAGACTGCCACCTGGAGCCCCAAACATTTCTCCATGCCTGTTGCTATCCCTGTAGCTGGGTGTGAGGGTTGGAGGGAGACTCCCCAGATCTGACTTCCCGGCCACCACCACCAAACAGGCCAAGAACCACTTCAATGCTAACTGCTCCTTTTGGAACTACTCGGAGCGCTCCATGCTGGGCTACTGGTCGACCCAAGGCTGCCGCCTGGTGGAGTCCAACAAGACCCACACCACATGTGCCTGCAGCCACCTCACCAACTTTGCCGTGCTCATGGCTCACCGTGAGATCGTAAGCTGGCTGGTGCTCCGCTGTGCTCCTCCTGGTGGGCCTGCTCTCTGGCCCAGCTTTGCATGGCATCATAGAGTACAGCATGGGCAGTGCCAGGGAAGACCAGCTTCGTGGGCATGGGGGGCCACCAGTCTTGCCCAGGGTATGAGACCACACATCTGGTTCTCTCTGGTCACAGTCCCACCTTCTCCCAAGGCACGCTGGAGAAGCAAGTTGGTGTCACCTTTGTCATCTCTCCACACGCCTTCCAGAGCATGAGGAAGTGAGCGCGCCACCTGCAGAGGGGTGGGAGCTGGCAAGTTGGCCAAGGGCAGAAGGCCAGGGGGAGGGGGCTGCACCAACAGCGCTTGTGGCCTGCAGCCTTGTCCCCAACTGGTACTTATTTAAGCCCAGGGTGACCCTGGCTGTGTGCAGGGCCAAGGGTGCTGAGTGTACCCATTGCTTTTCCCCAGTACCAGGGCCGCATCAATGAGCTGCTGCTGTCAGTCATCACCTGGGTAGGCATCGTGATCTCCCTGGTTTGCCTGGCCATCTGCATCTCCACCTTCTGCTTCCTGAGGGGGCTGCAGACTGACCGTAATACCATCCACAAGAACCTGTGCATCAACCTCTTCCTGGCTGAGCTGCTCTTCCTGGTTGGCATAGACAAGACTCAGTATGAGGTGGGCGAGGCAAGAGGTGGGGGCAGGGGAAGGGAGGAGAGGCCACCTGTCCAGGCAGCCCCTTATTTGTTGTGCCCTCACCCCCCAGATTGCCTGCCCCATCTTCGCCGGCCTGCTGCACTACTTTTTTCTGGCTGCCTTCTCCTGGCTGTGCCTGGAGGGTGTGCACCTTTATCTGCTGCTGGTGGAGGTGTTTGAGAGCGAGTACTCCCGCACCAAGTATTACTACCTGGGTGGCTACTGCTTCCCAGCCCTGGTGGTAGGCATTGCAGCTGCCATCGACTACCGCAGCTATGGCACCGAGAAGGCGTGAGTGCCTCCCCTCCCCCCCCATCTCTCCTCCTGCCTAGTTCCCTGCTCAATAGCAGGACCCTTGGGGCACTGGGCTCCTGGGGTCAGAGGGAGGGGCCTCCCTCCGCCTCTACCTACCCAGCCCTGCTTCCTTTATAGTTGCTGGCTCCGAGTGGATAATTATTTCATCTGGAGCTTCATTGGGCCGGTCTCCTTTGTTATTGTGGTAAGCTGGAAGGCAGTACCCCGGTACTGTATCTCCATCCTCTATCCAGGTCCCCAAGCACCCCCAGTCTCCCTAAGCCCTTGAAACCCACGGGAACTGAACAGCCAACTAAGAGGACAAGAGCACAGTGGGTCTATAGAGCCCCAGCAATGAGGTTTATCCATCCAGGAACTGTGATATGAGCCCCTGCTATGGACCCCATCCTCCCAATAGCAGAAACCCTGTTAACAGAGTTATACCAGTTGGCGAGCACCTGAGGCAGGTAACCAGTGGAAGAGGCCCTGAAGAAGGGGGTCCAGGCTGAGACTTGGCCAGGAGCTCACACCAACAGGCAGAGCAACTCCAGCCCAGCCCCTGCCCTTGTCCTGCCCCCAGGTGAACCTGGTGTTCCTCATGGTGACCCTACACAAGATGATCCGGAGCTCGTCTGTGCTCAAGCCCGACTCCAGTCGCCTAGACAACATTAAGTGAGCACCCCTTCCCCATACCCTTGTCCCCAAAATCCCACACCAGCCCAGCCTCTCCCAGGACTTCATAAAATGTGGTGCTGTCACTCTGTTGTCATACAGTGTGATTTAAGGACAAAGATGGTGTCTTATTGTGCTTGCTATATGTCTACTTAATGAATATTAAAAAGCCTGGCATGAGCATGTTCAGCCTGTGATTTTGGGGACATAGCCGCATAACTCCTTAGGGCAAGACTAAGTTAAAAAAATGAGTCTATTTTGTCCAACTCGTGTGGCTCAGTGGTTGAGCGTCGACCCATGCACCAAGAAGTCACTGGTTCAATTCCCAATCAGGGCACATGTCCAGGTTGTAGGCCAAATCCCCAGTGGGAAGGGTACAGGAGGTGGCCAGTTGATGTTCTCTCGCATCAATGTTTCTGTCTCTCCCTCTCACTTCCTCTCTCTCTAAAATCAACAGAGGAAAAAAATTTTTTTAAAGCGAGTCCATTTCAAGGCACCTTAGGCAGCAAAAGATAGTTTAAGGGTCTGGAAACATGGCTAAAAGGATAAAGGATGCAGGGGAATGACTGACTATTCCTGTCCCCTGACCTCCCATCAGGCCCAGGTTGGGTGGAAGTGTCGCTGGGCAGGCCATTATCCTGAGGCCTACTCACCTAGATGGGTCTTGGCAGAGAACAACCCGGCCCAAAGAGGCTAATGGGGGAGGCATCTCCACTGGTGGGGTCTTTGATGTCCTTGTCTCTTCTCCCCACCCACCCCAGATCCTGGGCCCTGGGGGCCATCGCGCTGCTCTTCCTGCTGGGCCTCACCTGGGCTTTCGGCCTCCTCTTCATCAACAAGGAGTCAGTAGTCATGGCCTATCTCTTCACCACCTTCAACGCCTTCCAGGGGGTCTTCATTTTCGTCTTTCACTGCGCCTTGCAGAAGAAGGTAAGGTCAGGGAGGAGGCCCAGGTGCCTGTCTTCTGTGGTGGCCTGTTTCTGCTGCAAGGGGAGCACGGGTTCAGAGTCGAGGAGGATCTAGCCAGGGGTGAAGAGGACTCAGGAAAAGAGCAGGATAGAAGACTGGAAGAGAAGAAAGGATTTGGGACATGGTGACAGGGTCTCTTCCTAGGGTGTGGGGCATGAAGCAGGCGTGCAGAATGGAGATGACTCTGGGCACCATCCCGACACGTTTCCTATTTTAATAGTTACGGGACAGACTGTGAGTTTTGTGGTGATAGAAAGTTTCCTTCTTAAATAAAACATGTTAAAATCTAAATCTTAAGAAAGTAAATACAGGTTGTAACAGAAGTATAGGAATGTGGAGAGGGCATACAGGGCGCACAAGACTCAAGCACCTGTCAGGGCACATGCCCGGATTTCAGGCTCAATCCCCAGTAGGGGACGTGCAGGAGTCAGCTGATCAATATTTCTCTCTCACATAGATGTTTCTATCTCGCTTCTTTCCTCTCCCTCCCTTAAAAAAAAAGACTGCCCTGGCCAGTCTGGCTTAGCGGTTAGAGTGTCAGCCCACAAACCAAAGAGTCGCAGGTTCAATTCCGGGCAAGGGCACACATCTCGGTCGCAGTTTGGTTCCCAGCCCTGCTTGGGGTGGTATGGGAGGTGACCAATTGATGTGTCCCTCTCACATCAATGTTTCTCTCTCTCCCCCTCCCACTCTATATCTGAAGATAAGTGGAAAAATATCCTCGGGTGAGGATTAAAAAAAAAAAAAAAAAAGACTCAAGCCATGAAAACTGAGCCAAGGCATTTGTATACTTGGTCCTGGAGGCAGTGGGGGGGGGCCCTGTCAGGCTGTTAGTCTGGGGGAACAGTGAGGTGGGCATGGCTAAGGTTGGGGATGAAGGAGGCAGCAATCAGAGTCCTGCAAGTTTGACGATATCCTTCCTCCTCTCAAAACTGGTGGCCCCCATTGGACATACAGGAATAGTGACATCCTTACAGAAGCCCCCTAGGCCCACACAATCTGCCCAGGACCCCCCTTCACTTCCCTCCCTTCCAGCCATGCCCTCCTCTGCTCTCTTAAGACATCTAGACATGGACTGTCCTTAGGGCTTGTCCCCTGCTCCTCCCTAGATATCCACAGGGGTCCGCTGCCTTACTTTTCTCAAGTCTTTGCCAAAGTGTCTGCTTCTCAGTGAGGCCTCTCCTTATCCATTTGAAATCAAACCACCACCACCCCACACCCCTACCAGCACTGCCTATAATCCCCTTCTCAGCTACAGGTTTTTCGCAATACTAACACTCTAAGACATTCTACATTATGTACTGATGTTTGCATCTACGTTATGTCTCTGCCTACTAAAATAGCAGCTCTGAGAGGTAGGGCTTTGTGTCTGATTTGTTCTATCCCTGGAGTATAAACCATGCCTAAAGGATGCTCCTTAAAGAGCTGTTGAGTCAGTGAACGGATGAGAAACTGTGGTGGTGAAGAAAGGAAGATGGGCCTGAGTGAGGAGAGAGTCTTCTCTGGCTGGCTGCAAGAGGACAGGCCAGGTTTCTTTCTGATGCCTGCCCATACCTTGGTCTCTGGACTCCTGAGGTGGGAGCACCTGCTGCCAGCTGCCTGTTCTCCTCACCCCCCAGGTGCACAAGGAGTATAGCAAGTGCTTGCGACACTCCTACTGCTGCATCCGCTCCCCACCCGGGGGCGCTCACGGCTCACTCAAGACCTCAGCCATGCGGAGCAACACCCGCTACTACACAGGGACCCAGGTATCTTAGCTGGGGCTTGACACCAGGCAGGGCTCCCTGGGACTGAGTGTTAGACCCAGGAGCCCCAAAGACTGGGTAGTGCTCTGCCCAGGTCCCTGGTAGTGGTCATCAGGCAAGTAGTCTCAGAAAGATCTGGAGGGTGGGAAGTTTGAGGGCCACCTCATGTCTGAGCTGTGTCCCCAGAGCCGAATCCGGAGGATGTGGAATGATACTGTGAGGAAACAGACAGAATCCTCCTTCATGGCGGGGGATATCAACAGCACCCCCACCCTGAACCGAGGTGAGACAGTGTCCTTTGCCCCTGACTCCAGTACCTTGAGATTCCTGGCCTGTCTTCAGGCTGCCCTGTGACCTCTGACCTCCTGGGCAGGTACCATGGGGAACCACCTCCTGACCAATCCTGTGCTGCAGCCCCGTGGGGGCACTAGCCCCTACAACACCCTCATCGCTGAGTCAGTGGGCTTCAATCCCTCCTCACCTCCTGTCTTCAACTCCCCAGGTGAGAATACTCTGGTGCTGGGCGAGGGCAGCAGCCCAGGTCAGGGAGTATGGGGTCTGCATCCTGAGGGTTCTTCACTTGGGGTGTCCTCGTGCCTCCTGAACTGGAGCCTGGACTCAGCATTCCAAGTCCACTCACCTTCTTTCTTTTCCCTCCTGGCTGACACCTGCAGGGAGCTACCGGGAACCCAGTGAGTATGACTTTCCTGGTAACATTTCCGAGGCTGGGAGGGGAACGAGATGGTGGCCTCCTTGGATGGCCTCACTTACTTAGGACAACTCAGGGTGCTTCCCCTGCCCCTAACTCGTGCACATGCATGCACATGCAAGGTTTGGCAGCTGGCTGGTGTTGCATTTGGGCCTCAGATGGGGAATGAAAGGGATGAGGGTCAGAGCACAGGAAATAGACCCAGTCCCCCAAGTCTCCTCACACCGCTAAGAATCTGAGCCCTTAGGTGGGAGGGGAATCTGGGAAAACTGGTCCCCATCCCCCTCCACCAACCTGTATAGTGGGTGTCCCCACTGCCAGTGAGGAAGAGGGAGTGGAAGACCCCAGTCCCCAGGAGAAGGAGTAAGAGTAAGCCCAGGCACCCCTATTCCACATGGCCTGCATCCTTCTGGCTGCCTGGCCCTCCTCCTGAGCAACCCCCTTCTGCCTGCAGAGCACCCCTTGGGAGGCCGAGAAGCCTGCGGCATGGACACGCTGCCCCTCAACGGCAACTTCAATAACAGTTACTCTTTGCGAAGTGGGGATTTCCCTCCAGGGGACGGGGCACCCGAGCCACCCCGAAGCCGGAACCTGGCAGATGCTGCTGCCTTTGAGAAGATGATCATCTCGGAGCTGGTGCACAATAACCTTCGGGGCAGCAGCAGCGGGGCCAAGGGCCCACCACCGCCTGAGCCCCCTGTACCACCTGTGCCGGGGGGTGGCAGTGAGGAAGAGGCTGGTGGGCCCGGGAGTGCTGACCGGGCGGAGATTGAACTTCTTTACAAGGCCCTGGAGGAGCCACTGCTGCTGCCCCGGGCCCAGTCGGTGCTGTACCAGAGCGATCTGGACGAGTCAGAGAGCTGCACAGCAGAGGACGGGGCCACCAGCCGGCCCCTGTCCTCCCCTCCAGGCCGGGACTCCCTCTATGCCAGTGGGGCCAACCTTCGGGACTCACCCTCCTACCCGGACAGCAGCCCTGAGGGGCCCAGTGAGGCTCTGCCCCCACCCCCACCCCCACCCGCACCCCCTGTCCCTCCTGAAATCTACTACACCTCGCGCCCACCAGCCTTGGTGGCCCGAAACCCCCTACAAGGCTACTACCAGGTGCGGCGGCCCAGCCATGAAGGCTATTTGGCAGCCCCAGGCCTCGAGGGGCCAGGGCCTGATGGGGATGGGCAGATGCAGCTGGTTACCAGCCTCTGAGGGACCGCATGGACCAGGGGCTGGTGGCCTAGGCCAGGGAGGGAACCCTGGGCAGGGCTTTGGTGGGAGAGGGAGACTGAAGGAGGCAGTGGCTAGTGGGCCACTCTCCAGGCATCCATTGTCCAAGGGCCCTCTAGGCCTCTTGGGGGTTCTGCTGTGGGGACCCAAGGTGCAGGGTTCACAGACAGTGTTTCCCACCAGCCACACGGCACCAGCTTAATTTGGGGGAAGTGCCATGAGAAGGAGCCAAGAGGTCCCCAGGGGAGTAAGGAAGGAGAAACTGGAAGGGTGCATCCTACTCTTGACTGTCCCCTCTCCCCTACTCTTCCTGCCTGCTGTAGCGAAATGAGGGCTTGGTGTCCCTGGACCAAAGGCCCTGCTGGATGGAACCTATCGGTTGCTCCTCTTTCTGTAGCCAGAAATGCTGGGCTGCACTGGGAGGGAGCAGTGGGGGCAGGAGGACAGATGGACAGGTTCCTCCTGCTCTACAGCTCCCTGCTCCATGGAGACTGGGGCCTCTAGCCCAGGAGATAAGCTCCTCGGTGAGAGGAACAGGCACTTGTGGCTGGTGGTTTAAAGGTTGAATTTTTCTCTGAAGCTCCTTCCCTCTGCTCTTAGTCCCTGCCTCCCCAGCAGACCTATCCCCTCAGCCATCCTCAAGTGCACCCAATGACCCCCTCCCTTAGGGTGACTCCTGATGAAGCACAACTCCCTGAAGGGCCCCCGGCCCACAGGGGTGGCCATATTTGGGCAGTTCTAGTCCTGTGGGCCTGGCTATCTGGGGAACAGATTTTGGGTCTGGATCTCCCTGGGGAGTGGGTCCTGGGCTTGGATCTCCCCCTAGGGGGCCCTTTTTCCCTTGCTCTTTCCTCTCCTATTGCTGTAAATATTTCAAAGAAATGGAAAAGACAAAAAAAAAAAAAAAAAGAAAGAAAATCTCATCACTTGAAGCCACTGGGAGCCTGTGGCCCAGCCAGCCCGGGCTTTCTCTGGAGCAGAGCAGTGCCACTGGGCCCTGGCAGCCAGGACTTCCCGTGTATGTGTGCATCCCCAGCCAGGTGGGTGGCCCCCAGAGCAGCTTTTTACAATCCAGAGACAAAAAATCTAGAAGCAACAGCAAAACAAAGAACCTGTTTCCTTCCTGGCACCCTTTTCTGTCACCACTTCCCCTGTTCCACCTGACCCTGGCATCAGTCAGCCCTTCTGGGGTGTGTACCTCACTGCCTGCCCCAGGACTGGGGACCTGTCTCCCACTTCCCTCCCCTCTGGCCCAGGGGAGACACCCCTCACACCCAAAGATGCTTTCGCCAAGATGGCTGTGCTGTTCCTTTGAGTTCCTGCCTCTTGTATATTGCTTCTGGAACTTGGCTGGGGATGAGGGGAGTCCTTCCTGCCTAGAGAGGTTGATAAGGGAAGGAAGAGGACAGCAGCGATTCATGTGACTGAGGAGGGAGGGCTGGGAATAGTGAGGTGGTGTTCTTTTGGGGGTGGGGGTGGTGCGGGACGCAAAAGGTGAGAGATCACCTTCCCTACCCTACATCCTCCTGCAGGGGAGGCAAAGTCAGGTACCAGGGCCTCAAGTCAGGACACCCGTTCTGGGGGCTCACCCCCGAACCTGAAAACCCTAAAAGCGTCAGGCTTGGAATGTCTCCCGAGTACCTCTTCTGGTCCCCTCTCTAGCTTGTCACCCTGGTCCTCCCAGAACCCCCCTCCCCAACTCTGGGGGTAGCATAGCCCAGTACCACACTAATCTAGCCCCATAATTGCCATTTCCCCTGGGGTGGCCCTCCACCTCGACTCTGACCCCTCCTTGTATCTTTTGCCCCTTCCTCTTTTCTCACAAGTGCCATGAGTTTTCAAACATCTTTGGGTCTCAGCCTGCTGCTACCATGAACTTCTTTGGGTTAAGGGGGAGGAGCTCTAGGAAGGAACTAGGGAAAACAGACAGGTGGCTGGAGGGGCCCTTTTTGCTGCTAGAAGGCCCCTCCCTTCTGGGGAGCTGGGGCTGGCTTGTCCCCATCAGGGGAGAAGGGGTCAGACCAAAGATGGTGATTTGTCCTGTGTATGGGGACATGTGTGGGGAGAAGGCAGTGTTGGGTCCCATCTCTGGCTTTTTCTAGCAGGGAAGTTTAACCCCCTTTACCAGAAGACCATGAGTGAGTCTGGACCCAGAGAAGAAGTAAGGGTGGCCAGGTGGCTCTGTGAGGAGGGTAGGAGCCAGCTCCAGGGCCTGCCTTGGCTTTGGGTGGCCAGGAGCTCTACTGTGGGAGGGGCAGCTACAGCCTGTGAAGAGCTGGCAGGAGACTAGGGTAGATGGAGGAGTTGGCCTGGCCCACACATCAGCCCAGCTAGAGCCAGAGGTTGCCTCTGACACCAGCAAGAGGGCTGGAAGAGCAGGGCAGGAGAGTTTCCAGGGGAACTGGAGGCATGCAAGGAGTCCCTCATCCTCCCCTGTTCAGCCCTCCTTTTATCTCTAGACACCGACAATCAAGGGGAGAGAGAGGGTGCAGTGGGTCCCTTGGTTCCCATTCCAGCCAGAATCACCAGGGTGAATTCCTAGGCCTCAGAGCTGTGTGGCAGGGCTGAATGCCACTGCAGTCCAGTACAAAGCCACTACCGAGAGCCCAGGTGTCCATCCCCCTACCCCAACCAGACCTGGTGCCTTGACGCCCCCACCCCAGCTGGGACGGTATAGAGAAGGAAGGGTCTTGGTTTCCTCTCCTGTTCCCTTCCTTGGGCTCCTGAATTCATTTGCTCCTCAATCTGGTTAATTATTTTTCTCTGGGTTTGTTGTTTTTTTTTCTTTTTGGTTTCCCTTGCCTTCCTTTCTCTCTGTGTCTCCACCTCTTTCCCTGTTTTTTCCTTGCTGTTTCTGTGTTCCTCTTCTCTCAACCTCAATTTATCTGTCCATTCGGGCCTCCCTCCCTCCATGCCCCCAGTCCCTCCTTGGTCTCCTTTTCGATATGCCAAACCAATTTTGGGTCGAGTGCATTTAACGAGAACAAAACAAAAGGCTCATAACAACAAGAACGTTTCAGAAAAAAAAGTTTAAAAAATTGTTGAGTCAAAAAAAAAAACAATAAAGAAATTAAGATTTCTTGGAATAACGAGTGGTGTGACTCATTGAGGGGCAATAAACAGGTGAGTGGACCTGCATGGAGCACCCACATGAGGCTCTGACACCATGAGGGGCCTGCACTGCAGCATGGAGAACCCATGGCAGAGGCCTGGAGTCACAGAACCTACCCAGAACTTGGTAGGTTCCTAGGCCTGGTTGAGCAGCAATTCAGGTTCAGTTTGTCTTTGAATATTTGTAAACACTCTAGGGTGGGTGAAGGATATTAGAACTCCACTTTAGAGACAGGGAAACTGAGGCTTACAACATCTGGATGCATACCCAAGTTTTGCTGGGCCAGGCAGCTGTGCCACGTGTCTAGCGAAGCTCTCTTGACCTGGACATGTGTCCACAGGCTTTATTAGAGCAAACAGGAATTTTACACTGCATGTCTGATTCCTAGATTCCTACACACTATGGAAATGGTGCTTTTTCGAAAGTGACAACACAATGGAATTGTATGTGGCATGTGTATTTCACATTCTCAAACAGAACTGCCAGTGCTCAGAGAAATAACCATCCAGTGAAAGCATCTCTCTCCATGCCCCTCTGCCCTCAACACCCACATCCAGGACACAAAACTCCCCCGTTTCTTCTCCCACCTCCCCAGCCACTCCTTCCCAGTCCCGGTGACTGGTTCATTCTCATCTCTTGATTTTTTAAATATATGTTTTTTATTGATTTTAGGGAGAGAGAGATAGAAACATCAATCAGTTACCTCCTGAACAGCCCCTGCCTGCTGGGGATCAAGCCCATAACCCGGGCATGTGCCCAGACTGGGAATCAAACCAGTGACCTCTTGGTGCATAGCTTAATGCTCAACCACTGAGCCACACTAGCCGGGCATCTCTTGACCTCTTAATGTTGGCAAGGCCAAGTAGCTCAGCTTTGGATCTTTCTCTATCTTATCCCATCTTCTGGTTTTAATGCTATCAATATGCTGATGATTCCTGAACATAAGCGCTCCAGTCTAAAATTCTACCTTGAGCTCCAATTTACATTCATTCAACATCCCATTCCACATCTACCCCTGGGTGTCTGGTAGGATTTCAAACTTAATCTGTCCTAAACCTAGTTCCTGACTACCACTTCCCACCTCCTCCCAAATGCTTCCTCACCTCAATTAATGGCAAGTCCATCCCAAGACTCAAGCTAAAACCCTCAGAGCTTCTCTTGAACTTATCTCCTAGTTTCATACTCCACATCTATTTTAACAGTAAATGCAATGGTAGCTCTAAAGTTAAAATATACAGTATTAACTAATTCTCACCAATTTGGTTCAAGCCAATCATGTCTCTCATCAAGACCGTCCCCTCACTAGCTCCCTTGTCTCTCTTCAGGCTTTTACACAGAAACCAAAGTAATCTCGGTAAGCATGTTTTGTCCTTCCTCTGCTCAAAACTATCCAATGGCCTTCTCTCTCGCCCAGATAGAAGGCCAAGGTCAGCACAATGGCTGAGAAGGCCCTACATCATCAGATCTCACCCCACAGCTCCCCCACTCCTTCCTTCCATGCCAGCCACACTGGACTCCTCTTCCACAAATATGCAAGCACCCACCTGCCTGCCACAGGGCCCTTGCACTGGCTGTTGCAGCAGAGCTTCCCAGCAAGTTACTCAATTTAAACTGCTTTGGCCATTCCAGAACTTCCTAACCTTGGTCTTGCTTTGTCTCTCATAGTACTCCCATCTCACAAACTATCTTTTTTACTTGTTTGTTGTCTGCCTCCCCAACTAGAAGGTAATATAGAATGTTTTCTTTTTTTTCACTGCTGTGCCCATGTCTAGCATAGCATCTGGCACACAGGTGATCAATAAATATTTGTTAAAGGATGGAAAGATGACTTGAACATAAGAGCCAGAGTAAACCGGAGATGAGAGCTAAGAATGACTGGAATTGTGAATCTGCTGCTCCCTCAGCTGGTGTCAGTTCCCACACGTCTGTCTCGGTGTGATGCTAAGTTTTTCATTCAGCATGGCCCTAAAACCTAACTTCAATATTTTAACTGGTGCCCAACCCAAGAAGAGGCTAAATCTGTTTCTATGCTGGAAAAGCAACTGATTCTACTGGACTTACTGAGAGATGCCCTTTGAGCCAGTTCAGAAGCTTTATGGGTAAATTTAACTATATATGGTTTTGACCTCATGGTCTGATTTTAAAATATAATCCTGGCCTAAGATGACAACACAGCCTGTACTTCTGCCTTTGTGTCCTTTACCCTCCCCAGACCTACACACATCCTTCCCCACCACTCACATAGTACAAATCTGCTGGGCTAGACAATGGATAACCCTCAGGTAGTTGTTAGTGGGATGGATTTGCACATGCACAATATAAATAACCTTTATATTGAGATTTATCATTTCTATATTTCATCTCACTTAATTATCACAAAATATATATTATTATCCCTATTTATCAGATGAAAAAACAGGTTAGAGTGATTAAATGACTTACTCAAATAAAATTACTAAGCAAGTGCCCTGGCCGGTTTGGCTCAGCGGTTAGAGCGTCAGCCTGCAGTCCGGAGAGACCCGGGTTTGGTTCCCGCTAGGGGCGCATACCTTGTTTGCAGTTTGTCCCCAGCCCTGGTTGGGTCGTGTGGGTGGCAACCACTCGATGTGTCCCTTTCACGTCAATGTTTCTCTCTCTCTCTCCCTCCCACTCTATCTGAATAAAATATTGAAAAATGTCCTTGGGTGAGGATAAAAAATAATAATAATAAAAACTAAGCAAGTTCACAGTGCCTACACCCTCAGTCCAGATGCTTTACATATGCTATCCAATTTAATCTTTTCAATGACCCAGTGAGGCAGCTGTTACTTAGTCCCATTTACAGCTGCAGAAACTGAAGCCCAGAGAGGTTAGAGAATATCTCCCACATGGTTAGAGAATGGACCCACATTCACTCAGCTAGTAAGAAAGAGCTGGACCAGGCGTCCACCTTGGTCTTCTGATCCCAGGGCTGGTTCTAGGGCTATCTGCACGCAGCTGCACTTGCCCACTCCCCACTCACTGCCCGCCAACCCCACGTGGCACACAACAAAGGGGGCTGACAATCTGGCTCCCTGTGTCAGAGGAAATGCCCAGTGACTGCACCACACCCTGATGGTCCCTACATAGCTAGTATTAGGACTGTCCAGAGTGGACCTATGGGAATCAAACCAGAGTGAAGGCCTTAACTCAGAGCAACAGAAATCTCTTCAGATCCCCAAACAACTGAAAGCACTGGGAGCCTCTGCCCTTGAGAAAATCTCCTCTCCCACTAACTCTTGGGAAGTCCTGGGGGAGTCAGGCTGAGGCTAGCCCTCTCTCCCCACAGCATTTCAAGTTTATTCTGCTCCTCTCTTACCCTTTCAAACATGGCAGTCATGGAAATCAGCAGTGATGATAGGCACCTGCTGGTTTCTCCCTTCCTATTTATGGCAATCACTTCTCACTTGACCTGGACTCTCCCTGACCAAACCCTTGCAACTGCTACTCTTTTCTATCTGTCCTGTCCCACTGTGTTCCATCACTCTCTGCCTCTGTCCAAGTAATCCCACCTTCTCACAACTGAAGTCCTCACTTTAAGCCAACCAATCTTCTCCTGGGAATCAATCCTAAAGAATCACACATGGGTATGAAGACTCAGCAGCAAGAAAATTCACGGTAGTCACACTTTTAAGAGTGAAACACAAGGAACAATCTAAAGTTTCAGCATGCAAATAGTTACATAGCCCTGGCAGTTTTGCTCAGCGATTAGAGCGTTAGCCTGTGGTCCAGAGAGATCCGGGTTCGGTTCTTGCTAGGGGCACGTACCTCGGTTGCAGTTTGTTCCTGGCCTTGGTTGGGATTATGAGGGAGGCAGCCACTCGATGTGTCCCTTTCATGTCAATGTTTCTCTCTCTCTCTCTCTCTCTCTCTCTCTCTCCCCCCCCCCCTTTTCTCCCTCCCACTCTATCTGAACAAAAAATGGAAAAATGTCCTCGGGTAAGGATAAAAACAAAATTAAAAATATATATATTCATAATAGTACTGTGTAAAAAGCTGAATATAAGACTGCCCCAGTTTTTAAAATAACATATATATGCAAAGTGGGGCCCCCTTGCCCAGCCAGTGTGGCTCAGTGGATTGAGCATCGCTGGGTTCAATTCCCCATCAGAGCACGCTTGTGGGCTTGATCCCAAGTGGGCAGTGTGCAGGAGGCATCCAATGGATATATCTCTCTCACATCAATGTTTCTATCTCTCTCTCTAAAAAATCAATTAAAAAATATTGAACAAAAAAAAAAACAAAAGTGTGGCCCGGCCAGTGTGGCTCAGTGGATTTGAGCATCATCCCATGGACTGAGAGGTCCCTGTTCAATTCCTGGTCAGGGTACATACCAGGGTTTCGGGCTCAATCCCCAGTAGGAGGCGGCCGATTGGTGTTTCTTTTCTTTTCTTTTTTTAAAAACATGTTTTCATCGATTTTTTTTTTTTTTTTAGAGAGAGAGGAAAGGAGAGAGAGAAACATCGATTGGCTGCCTCCTGCACAACCCCCACCAGGGATTGAGCCTGAAACCTGGGCATGTGCTCTGACCAGGAATCGAACCAGGACCTCTCAGTCTATGGGACGACGCTCAATCCACTGAGCCACACTGGCCGGGGCCAAGAGACTGATGTTTGTATCTCTCTCTCCCTTCCTCTTTCTAAAAAATCAATTTTAAAAATGTGTATACATATATAAAAGTGTGTATGTATGTGTGTGAATGTGCATAGTATATGCAGAATATAAAGTTATACACCAAAATTTAACAGTTTATCAGTGATGGGTAATTTTTACTTTATTGCAACTCTGTTTTTACATTAAACATATATTACTTTTATAATAGGAAAAAGGTATTTGCATGTCCTACTTTCTGTGGAAGAACAAAGACCAAGAATAACCAATATAACTGGAAGAAGAAAAAAACAAGGTGGGGGACTAGCCCTACCAAGATTGGTTACAGTGCGATAATATTTAAGA